CTCTGAAGTGCACAGGGGAAGAAGCAGGCTGTGCATTCCAGAACTCTGTGTTTTTAGAGGTCACTGTTTGAAAGCCCTCGCCGAGGTGGGCAGAGAGATTTAAAAGTAACGTGAGAAGGGAGGAGGTGGGGAGAGAGACTCTTCCTTTTGGTAGACATAAAGTATTTCTATAGCTCTAAGCCTTGCCTGCCTTGTGAGAAACTCCTACAAAGCTTTAATCTTTATCACTCTATCAAGTGTTACTTTGAAATTAAAAAAAAATCATTTCAGTTTAAAGCAACTAATCTTGGCTACTCTCAACCTTAAGCATGAAATAACTCATTTTCTAGGCCAGTTAAAACACAAACAAACAATACTTCTGCAAACACTGTTTTCTACAAAACTTTACCACAAGCAATGCAGCAGTATGAAAGCAGCACCTGGGGATGAAATATTTCCTATCAACAGACAGCGTTTTTAACATCAGAAACAGCAGATCAGGGCTTTGCTGCAGGGTGAAGAGCACAGAGCCCTCATTACCCTGTCCAAGTCTCAGTTACAGTAGCACTGCTTTTTTAGAGGTGTTCTGTTTAAAGTTCCAGAGTTTGGCACAGTCTGTGGCAGCAGCCCTTTGTACCAACAGGCACTTGGAACCTCAGCTCCCCAGGATAAAACCAGACCATTACACTGCCCTAGCCTGGCTCTCTGTCCCAACAGCCAGGGGTGCCAGCAGGTGACAGCAGGACCCATCACCCAGCTCACACAACACCCCAGACTTCCTTTCACGGAGTCATTGGGCATTTTATCAAACCCAGCACAAAGGACTTTCTAGCCCAAGCTTGTTCCCACTAACTAAAAAAGGTGAATTAAGAGATAATTAAGTCTGTAATTCCCCTTTACATTCCATCTCACCAGGTAAAGGGGAAAGAAAGTAAACAAGTTCTCTTCGTTGAAACAAAAGAACCCAAAACGTCGTTCTCTAGAGCAGGTCTCCCCAAACTGCATCTAAGTTTGAGGTGAACTTCACCTCCTGCCAGTGCCTGTGGGCAGGCAGAGCTGCTGCTGCCACCGGGAGCTGCAGTGCCCTTCACCAGGTGACAGCTCCTGAGCAAACAAGCACAACAGCAGGAGTGAAACACCGCAAATAAAAATCTCTGGGCTGAGAATTACAGACAGACCAGTGTTATGGCTCGGGTTTACAGGACTCGAGACACAACCTGCTGCTTGGGACCCCTGGGTTAGTGGTGCAGGGGCTTGAGTACAGCTGCACATGGAACTGCAGATGCCTTTTCATCGGACAATTTCTCCTGGCATATCTTATTCACTTTAAACGACCCTCACAGCTGGGGGAAACAAAATTGCAACAGGTTTATTTAATTTGGGTTGGTTGTTTTTACTCAGTTCCTACCCTGATTTAAAAGTTTGTCAAAGCAGAAACAGGACATTAAACCCCATTGTTCTGTCACAGTATTGGGCACATATTTGCAGGGTGCATGGATTGATAATTACATTTTCCCTTGTTCTAAAAATAATTTAGAAAGGGGTGTGGCCGTCCCGTCGGTTCAATGAGCTGAAACAACAGAGCAAAGTTGTTCCCGGATCAATGCAGCCACATTCCTCCCAGCCACCCGCGAAGGACCCGCAGCCCCGCTGGGGGCAGGAATGGGGAAGCGATTCCTTCCTCTGGGAGCTCCTCAGGCCTGGAGAGTAGGAGCGAAGTACTCCCGTGTGAACCTCCCGGGAATTTATCCCGGGTTTTATCCCCACGACAGAGGCCCACAAGACCCATTCTGTGTCTTTTTATGTATCCTCCTCGAAAGCAGGCACTGCTTTAGTTATTTATTTGCTGTTTAGAGGTCTGCATTAGCATTTACCAGGTGAGAAGAATTCAGCTGTTATCAACCCCCAGCCCAGGGCTAATAGATAAGTGAGAACTTTTCAGATAGGGCTGACCAGGATTTACAGGACTTTTAACAGCTGCCACATTGATGGCACAGGTGAGGAGTCCCTTAAACTCTCAGAGGAGCAGGTCAAGTTTTATCTCAACCCTTTTAAACTGTCAGAAAATCAGCTTTTAAAGAGAGAGTCTGCTATGGCTGTTTACACAACTTACATGACTTAAGGCCCAGGCAAAGAGCAGGCAAAGTTAGACACCACTTTTTAAAAACACATAATCCCTTCTAGTACTTCCCTTCCAGAATATTCCAAACGAGGAATCGCTACAGTCTTCAATCCAAATTTGCACAGAGACCCTCTAAACTCAGGGGATCCCTACATATCCATCAAACCAGCCTGTAAGCCACTGATTGTCTCCCCAAATCCCTCCAGCTTTATTCCATTGCCCTCCTTCCAGCCTGGAGTGCTTTTCCCTGGACCAGCACAGTAATTCCTACTACTCGTTCATTTAAATCCCCTCTAACCCTTCAGGTGGTTTGTGACAGACTGACTCACGGCCAGTTTCTCATCTGAAGCATCAGAAAAACTGCCAGATATGTTGGTATTTTCAATCTCAATTGGTGTCAAGCAATTTCTAAGCCAAGAGCAACGTTTTATGTGCCCTGACTCAGGGAACATAAACTGAGGAGGGACTGTCAAATGCAATTCCTAACAACTGTGTGAACAGCACCACTACAGAGAGAGGAGAAGGAAAAGCTAAACAAGAGGGGTTTGTATGAAAGCAGCAAAACACACTCAGGGCTGTGAGTAAGGCAACAGCTGCGGCTGCTTTGGCGAGACACACACGAGCAGAATGAAATGATGCAGCTTCATTTTCAAAGGGAAACCAATATTGCAGCAGGGTTTTTATTATTATTATTATTTTAATGCAGAAAATAATATATGACAATGCAGTAGGAAGAGTAACAAAACACGGGGGGGGTGCTTCACGAACTACAGATATTTCATTCTGCAGTTATATTTAGTCCTTTAGGTTTATTCTGATTAAATAGTGTAAGTCTAAGACTCTGCAGTCTCAAACATGTAAAATCTTTCATTAACCGTACTTAGGGAAGTACTGCACTAGCGTATGAAACTAATAATTACAATTTCTCAAAGGTACTGGAATTGCAATTCAGGCAGCACTTAAGTTATCCAGAATAATCCCCAACCTGTTTCATCAGGTATCTCCAAACCCTGTGGGGTGTTTTGGAGGTCTCATAGCTCTGGTCCCTGCTGGAGCTGTTTCCTGCACCTTTTTCAGCTCTCACTCCCCAGGCCATATGGTGGGTCTTGTTCCTTAACTCTTGCTCCCTTCCCTCAGTATTCCTTTGGTCAGCAACTCAAAACCTGTTGTTTGACAGCCGAGGATCCTTTTTGCTGCACACCACAGGTCCATCTCCCCATTTCAGGGGGTTTATTGTAGTGCAGCCCCGTTACTTAAATGAGTTCCATGTGCCTACAGCTCTCCTGCCAGCTCAGACACAGAAAAGGTGAGTGGAGGGCTGGATTTACAGCACAGCTGGCAAACCCCAGGAAAGGTTGTCCTCCTGTTTATCATTTCTCCACTCCATCCCCAGCCATAAGACCCCATTGTTTTTCCCTGCACAAGCACTGGTGCTGTTCTGACTTCAGAAGCTGGTTCAAGGAGCTACCCCCTTTGGGGCAGGGAATAAATATTCCCACTGCCTTAGGCCCTTCCAGCAGCAGACACGCTACATCTGCTTAGAGAAATTGTGAGCGATGACTCTGAGCGCGCAAGTTCAGAGACAGAAGTTCTGTGCTGAAGGAGCCGCGTGTGCGATGTGCTCCCTCTGTGCTGGAGAGCTGCCAGAAGAGCTCTGGCCTCCTGCAGCAAGGACAAACGTCAGCGCCGTCCCTCAAAGGCACGGCACACAACTGGCACTGCTGCGGGAGGGTCACACCGCCCACACCTCGGGCTGCTCTGGAGCCTGCAGGGGCAAAAGGATTACACTGGGCAACCAGAAACTTCCCTGGGCTGCCCATTATCTCCACAGGCTTGCGTGCTGTGCCCCTGCTCCGACACCCTCTCTGCACAGCAGAGACCTTCCCGACCGCTTAGTGTCTGCACTGGAGTGGGAACAGTTTCTCCTACGGAGACTTTATATTCTGGTCCTTCTGCCTTGGCTAAAAAACTGGAGCAGAAGTGAAAATACGACCCTTTTTTTCGGGTTGGTAAGAAACGGGAAATCACTCATTTTGCATTCCTGGCTTTACCAAGGTAAAGTAGGACCCCAAAACAGCCCAAGGAACCGAAAGTGCCGTTTGAAGCGTGGCTTAAAGCAAACCAAGCCTGCACTGCCACCGAAAGGGGCAGTCCCGCTCTCCCTGCCACCTCCCGCGCTGGCATCACCCGGCTGCTGCCTCTGCTGCTCCTTCTCGGTCAGATGTCGAGGAGCGTGTCCGAAGGACAGAGATGTCTAGAGGACACAGCCCGAGCAGGATCATCCCTTCAGCAGCAAGGCCTCGCCCCGCTTTACACCCCACATAAAAAAATTTCCTAAACAAAATAAAAATCTTTCCGCATAGGTGGTAACTCTTAAGCACGGGTTAAACTTCAGCCTGTCCAGAGCATTACCTCATATTTATCACCACCTGTACCTCCTACCTTTAAGGCATTTCGAAAAGGTCCACCATCCTCACCTTGCCGTGCTTTGCCTGTTATCTCAACTTCTATTTATAGGCTATTTTTCCTGCATTAGTTACCAGCACACCCGCCGACTCCGTCTCCCGGCAAAGACACTTTGCTCTCCCAGGCTCCCTCCGATCCCCAGCAAGGGGGTTCCCTCACAGGACCGAGTCCTGCTGGGCTACAGAGCCGAGCTCCGTGGACTCAAAGCCCGGGGCTGAGCCTCCACCTGCGCTCCCCGATCAGGGACATGGGCTCGGAACCCTTCCTGGGAGAGCCAGGCGGAATTTGTCGCCCTCGGCTGATCCGCGACCGCCCGCAGGGACCCCGCGGCCCCTCAGCCCTCCCCGTCCCCTGAGGGGACCCCCGCTCCCCTCAGCCCCGGTGAGCCCTCCCCGCCCTCAGCCCGGCGGGACCCCCGCGCCCCCCCGCTCACCTGCGGCCGCCGGGGCCGGGAAGGGGCTCTCTCGGCCCCGGGAAGGGCAGGGAGGAGGCGCGGAGAGCCCAGCGCCAGCCCGGCCTGCGACGGCGGTGAGCGCGGCGCCTCCACCAAGTTTCCGGGCGGGGAAGAAAGTCGAAACCTACGTGAGAGGAGGAGGAGGAGGACAGCGCAGCCGCCCAGGTGTCGCCTGCCCGCCCAGCGCAGCTCTGCCCTCCCTTCACACCGCCGCGCTCTCCTCCTCCGCCGCCACCGCCCCGGGCCGCCCACACGGCCCCGGCAGCCATGGCCCGCCCCGCCAGAGGGCGCCGGGCAGAGCGGGGCACGGCCCGGGCCGCGGCTGCTGCTCCCCTCAGAGCACTCCGGCTCCCCTCGGGGCACTCCGGCTCCCCTCGGGGCACTCCGGCTCCCCTCGGGGCACTCCGGCTCCCCTCGGGGCACTCCGGCTCCCCTCGGGGCACTCCGGCTCCCCTCGGGGCACTCCGGCTCCCCTCGGGGCACTCTCGCTCTCCTGAGGGCACTCCCGCTCCCCTCGGGCATTCCCGCTCTCCTGAGGGCACTCCCGCTCCCCTCGGGGCGCTCCCACTCTCCTCAGGTAATTCCCACTTCCCTCGGGGCACTGCTGCTCCCTTCACGAGTGTTCCCTTTCTCCTCAGGGCACTCCTGCTTCCACCAGGCAATTCCCACTCCCCTCAGGGTGATTCCCACCACCCTCAGAGGAATCCTTCTCCCTTTGGGACATTCCTGCTCCCCTCAGGCCAATCTCACTCCCCTCAGGTGATTCCTGCTCCCCTCATAACATTCCAGCTGCCCTCAGGGGATTCACTGCTCCCCTCAGAGGAATTCCACTCCTCTCAGGAGTGTTCTCATTCCCCTCAGGGTAATATCGCTGCCTTCAGGGGCATTCCTGCTCCCCTCAGGGTATTTCCACTCCTCTCAGGTAATTCTGCTCCCCTGAGGCCATTCCCTGCTCCTCTTGGGGCAATCCCTGCTCCCCGTGCTGCCTGGGGTGATTCTGCTCACCCCTGTGGAGGGTAGAAGGCTCTTTCCTTCCACCAGTGTTCTTAGGTCTCCGCCCTGGGGAAAAAAACCCTGTAAAATAGAATATAGAGAATAAACCTGGTGCTGTTCGGAGTGCAAGGAGCACATAGCAGCTCAGCTGGCTGAAAAGCCGCAGAATTTGGGGGGACATTATTTTTTAGCCTTACTTTCTGCCCATTCTTCTGGGCTATACATGGAAGCACAGGCAATTGGGAAGGATTCTGCTGCATTTAATTTGTTACCAAGGCAAACCATAAAAGTTTAGGAAATGAGTAAGCCCGCAGCCGACCCTGGTGCTGTGGGGCCGTGGGGCACCTCGTGATGCTTTTTAAGAGCCAGGAAAAGGATGGCACTGGATACAAGGGAGTGCTGGTTTCCCGATTATTTCTGTGAACTCCAAACAGGTCCAGGTTCCAGTGTTCACACTGAGGCAGCTCCCTGTAACTCTCATGCTTTGAACCAGCAAAAAGGGAAACCAGTGGGGTTTAAAATTTCTCAAGCTATGTTAGCACTACGTCCAAGGTAGGAATTCCTGCCAAAGGAAGAGACGGATCCTCCAAAGTCCACTCCATCATATCTTCTGGGTTAGAATTGTCCTCTCAGATTCATCACACAGCCTTGGAAATGCTCTTTCTGCAGATGAGAACATCATGAGGTAATAAAGAGGATGATGTTTCAGCCAATAAAGGAAAAAAGGAATTGAACTTTAAACCATCATCTAGAGGAGGATCTACTAAGAGGGAAACCTTTGTACATTAAGAGTGTGTGGAACTAGCACACACCTGTCTGCATTGGATCATTTAGGAATGTCCCAAAGTTGCTGATCCAGACCTAAATGGAGAGAGAAGGAAGTGCTTTCTCTGCCCTGAAAACACCTTCTCTGCTTCAGCAGGGCTGGGGATTTGTGTTATTCAAGAATATTCAGGAAATGTGGGTACAGTGAGAAGAGATCATCCTTTATTTGGGGACTGGAACTAGATGACCTTTAAGGTCCTTTCCAGTGTAAGCCATTCTATGACTTTATTTCAGGTTTTTTATTTCAGTTGATCCATTTCTTGTTAAATTTCCCATGTAATCTTTCTGGGTTGTGCCATGTCTGCACTTCTGTCTGTCCCCTGGTTTTGTCTGGGGAAGTGTCCCAAGGAGGGACTGTGAGTTGTGCTTGTCAGTGAGGGAGGGAGATTGTAGGAGATGCACCACCCAAAAATGCAACAAGGCCCTTTCTCCTTTTCATTTAGATCATTTTTGGAAATCCACTGGAATTGGGGCACACCAGCAATCCACCTTTGCTCCACGAGATCCATGTTCCCACAGGACCTGAGGTGTCAGGTGTTGGCTGAGAACTGGGATCCACTTGTGCAAACCCAGCCATTTTGCTCACTCGATGAATTGTTTGGTGGGATTTCCTCTGGAGCACCGAGGCTGAGGATGGATAACACCTATTGAAACATTCTGAATGAAAAATATTTGAGGAGTAAAGCTGGCAGTGCATTGCCAGCTCAGACACAAGCACCAGAGCCTGGTGCAGAGACATCAGGCTGTCAACCTCAACCACACTGAGCCAGAACTCACTGATCCTGAATAGTCTTGTGTGTAAACAGACACAGGCTCAAGCTGAGCTCTGTGGAGTTGCAGCTCTGCTGAGGGGAGAGTTTAAACCTTGGCACAGAGGCACTCCCCTCCACGCAGCATGCAGCTCCTTGGTGAGCACAGGAAATGTGTGGCTACACCTGGGGCATTAGAGACAAACCCCGGGGAAATTCCTTTAAAATTAGGAATTCTGTCTAGTTAGCACTCGCTGGAGATTTTTATCCTGTGTGCTGACCTGGTTTTCTGAATGGACAGTGTGTCCACCTATAATTAAGAGTTGGTGAAAGTTTATTGTATAAGTATGCTGGAATTTTGGTGTGGTTTTGCAATAAAGGAATGGCACTGAGTCACGGTTACTAAATGGACTCATGCAGGGCACTGTTCTCTCCTGCAGAGCAAACACAAATGTAAGGAACTGAAATTAATTTCTGGTTTAGTCCAGGCAAAAGCAACCACGTTGTAAATAAGGCTGTGGCTTGATGACACCAAGCCTTTGCTGCATTACTGGTTCCTACCTGCTCCCTGTTCCTTCCTTGCAGCACAGCACACCAGCCCTCAGCTGTGAGTGGTGCACTGGGGACCACATCAGGGCACCGAAAAATTAACCAGGTGGGAGTCTCTGTAAAGGTATTCTATGTGAAATACACAAACACTTTCAAAATAGATGCACGTATTTTTAAAGCCAGAGAGATCAGTTCCCCAGTCTGGTTTCTAACTCGGAGGTGGAATGGATGGATGAAGTTCTTCCCTGCTGGTACAGAAAGAAGCATCAGAAGAGCAAAGTGGCTGATGATGAGACTGATCCTGGTGAAAAGGATCCCAAAGCAGAGCTGAATATTCAGTGTGAAAAGCATAAACAGATTTCTCCACTGGATTGTTGTGCTAGCAGTTAATGCGTTGTGTAAACCTGCATAGCACTTTCAGGTGTAAATGTTTAGCTTGGAAAACATCCCAACATTTGGGACAGAAACAGTTTCTGGGGTGACTCTCAGATGGCAGCTTTGATTAACCTTCCCCTGGGGAGAATCTCTGTCAGCTGTGCCTTCCCTCACAACCCCCCCACTCTCATGGTCTTCACCCTACTGATTTTGGAACAACAAAGTTCTTCTGCAGAACTCTGGGAGTTTTTATTTCCTAGCAGTTCTGCTGAATTACTTGTGTAGCCTTTGCTAACTGAAAAGACTCTGTGACCAAGCAGAGCAACCTCAGTTGGAGCTTTTATCAGCTCTAACTGCTGATAATTTCCTGCATGTGATTTGTGCAGTAACCACCGTGTGAGGAAAGATTATGGGCCACAGACCTGTGCAGTGCCTGTGCCAGGATTAAAATGCTGCTTTCTGACAAACAGAATCAAAACTATCACATAAATACGTGTGGATGTTTACAGGGTAGTAATAATTATTTTTTATTTCCCACGAAGATTCAGAAACTTTTTGTGGTTTTTTTTAATGTTTTTAAACATGCAAAAGGAACATAAAATTCAATAAGCAAACAACAGAAAAAATAACAGCAGGAAAATTGAATGAGAAAGCAAAATCACATCACACAAAGGTTTATGGATTAGTTTAATCCCATTGATGTTCCATAAAATTTGGTAACTGTGTGTGCTGCTCTTGTGGGAAGGTGCAAGGAATATATGACTGCACAGTATTAATTTGGGACTCAACTTTGATGTTTCATCACAAACAAACCTAAATTCCCAACCCACACACAAGAATGTAAACACAATTAGAAAACAAATCCCACAAACAAGGAGAGAGAGTCATCCCAGGAATTTATGATTAAATGGCCTGGAATCTCCCTTTTGTGGAAAGCAGAGCAGTGGAAGCACACGTGCATGAACACACAGGGGATTCTGGTAAATCCAAGGCCCAGAGCACATTGTCTGCATCCATCCTGCCAGATTCTACAGCACTTTGGTTGCTTTGGCAGTATTTTGTTATGTTTGCTGCAAATTATTGCTACCTGTGCACTGCACACCATGTATTTGTAGGAAGCAGTCAGAATCTCAGGGTTTGGAATTTGTCCGTGGGAGCAACCAGGATATTAAGAAATATAGAATAAGAATCTTGCATGTGCTAGTAATGATTTTGGACCGGTTTACATTCCCTTTCCTTGTAGTGTTTTATTAGCAGCAGTCAGTTATGAACAGTGTTGGAGTACTTTATTTGATGGATCTGTAGAATGTTTTCATTACATGTAAACAGATTGATTCCCTGCTTCCAGAAAAGTGCCTGTTGGCAGATAGAAAGAGGGCATCTGGCTTTTCTTAGGAGGAGAATAACCCATCTGGCTTTTTACAGTGGAGCAAATATGATAATACAAGCTGGTGGTAGTGGGGTACATGAAGCAAATCACTTTCCTGGTTTGCTGTCGTGAATTATACTGACGCCTTTTCCTAATGTTTAAATTGCACTGTTGAAATGTTGCAGCTGCTTTGTAACCCACTCAGATTTCTTTGTACCCTAATGCTTCTGTTGCAGGACTTTAAATGAGAAGCTGGAATATATCACC